TGTGTATTTTCAGAATTATTTTTACATTTTCAATATGACTATGAGCAATTTCATTACCGATTTAACAATCAAATGCGAAATTTTTTTTATCTTTTATAAGCTTTATATTAAAATTAAATGAAGTATTAAGATTATCGAAATTTTAATTACATTAATTATTACCTAAGGAATTAAATATTACAAAATATTCTTTGATGTGTGTGGGTGAGTTTTTACTCTATCATTTATATTCATTTATTTCTTCCTGATAAAATTTAAATACTTAATGAAACTGTTCACGATATTACATACACAATATTACGCAATAAATCCAAAATCGAACGTAAAAGGAAATCATTTTCTTTCTCTCTTTTTCTCTAAAAAACAAGATTTTAATTATTAAATTTAATTGACATCATTCTATAAAAAACTGGAAAATTCTCCATTCAAAAATTATTTGTAAAATAATATAAATAGTTCATTCTCCTGAAAGTCCATAATCTGAAAATCCATAAACATATTATTACAATTGCCAAACAAAATTTTGCACTTTCATCTATGAATTTATTTTGTTATACGACGGCGAAGTTAAAACACATACACATATCAATAAACAAAACGGGATGAAAACTCTATAAGGAAATCGAGCTATGAAAATATGCTATGAGCAATTTTTAAATTGGATATTAATCGGAAGGAATAAGGACAATGTGTCGCGCTGTTTGAATACAGGAATCTCTTTCGTGTGTGTGCGAGATGAAGTATCTTACATTGGATAAGTGATTTAATTTTTTATGCCTTCTTACTCAAAGCTCGCGACTCTAACCTTCATTGGATTAAATTCCGATTGCGTAGGTACGATTTTCTATAAAGTGTTGCAGATGTAATGGAAGGAAAGAAAAATATTCCAGCAATCCTTCGGGAAATCGATCGAAATGAATAAACTAGGAAGAAACTAATGAATGTGTGTGTAGGCGTGCATGCGTGCAAGCTACAATAAAATATTATATTACAAGACGATTGTTTACTTCAACAAATAGAACGTATAAAGCACAGATTTCTATGTAGCAATCTCAATGTTTGGTTTCGTGCAATGAAAATTGCGAACAAGAAATTGCAATAAATATTTGAAGACTAAATATACGCGTATAAGATATATTTCCTATATTTCTCATGCTTCCTTCCTTATGAATATTTTTTTAGTCCAAATTACTTTGGCAATTCCAAAGTCCTGCACAGGTACGTTACTGCAAATAAAATGTACTTCTTTCTCTAGCGTCATACCTATCGCAAGAGGAGATTTAACTTGTTGCAAGCGAGAAAATGTTGCGGATATCGAACTTGTCTCTAAAACTGTCCAATTAATAAACGACACCTACGCACGAGCTAACTAGATCTATTCCGCACAAGTTTCACAGAACCTGATGCAGTAATATAGATAATCCAATTGACTCTTCTCCTAAATGCTTCGTTATAATAATCGAGAAATTGTAATCTTGTTACAAAAATATGAAATCAAGCATGCGAAACGATAACGACTTAATCTGATTTGATAATATTTGATCAATGCTTCAATCAAGCAAATATTATTATATTCGTAATCGTTGTGAAGAAAATGCAAATGATTCCAACAATTAAACATCATTTTATATAATGCGATATTGAAGAGGAAACAGTAGGAGGCAATGATCAGCAAATAGAGCGTGCGAAGAAAAGAATATGTACTATATAAAATAATCGAGTAAAAAAAAGAAAAATCAATATTTTTATAAAAGAATGAAAAATTCGTAGGGCAAAGAGGCGAGTGAAGAGCAGATTAGCTCGGCAAAATTCACAAAATTTACTAAGAAACAATTGTAGCATTTAATATACTGATATAGAGTCCTTCTGGAAGAAAAGGAAAAAAATTGTAATCGTGAACGTTAGGCCAGAAACAAAAGAAAAGCATAAGTCGAAGAAAACATTGCGGTATAAATCGCCGCAAAAACATTGAATTGCGAAAAAATTAAAAATATCGATAATTTTAATATGTTGAATTTAATTTTTACCCTATTTTTCCCCTTTCATTATTTTTCCCCTTACTTTATTTTTGATATAACAAACTTCCAGACGTTTGGTCTTTTTTCGTATTTCTTTTTACATTACAAGTAAGAAGAGAGTATTTTTTTTATATTTGCATCAAATGATAAATCTTTATAAGTAAATATAGAATTTTATGATGTTATTATAAAATTCGGTAATCAAACTAAATTTCTCGAAAAGAATTTTATTTCGAACATATATAAAAATGGATTATCGCTATTTAATCTTTTCCTTTTTTGACGCATTTATTTTTGTGAAAAAAATATCGTCCACCTTAAATAATTCAATTTTTTTTTAATTTTGGCAATGCCGTAATTTCGATCAGAATATAATTTTGATAATGATTGTTTTGTATGCTGCACAAAGAAATTCGTAACATTCTGACGGTACAGAAATTCGTATAGTAACATCGATTTTTTCTCGCTCTGATTATTCTTTTACCTTATACCTAAAAGGTAAACAGTACCTGGGTATATCTTTAATCTCGTCTGGATTCTCTTGAACGTTCATTATTTTTATCATCGATTTATCATTCATTCTAAACTTCAGAACAAAGAATTGTCCATTTCATCATATATGACGAACAGAATATACGGTTTTTCACATTTCCACCTGTTCATTCTTGAAGACATCGCGATTTCTTACCTAATTATCTCATTGTCAGTAAAATCCCAATATTCCCTAATTATTTAAAAATAGATTATAGTTAGATATAAATAAAGAGAAACATGAATTTTTTAAACAAACAGCAAGGCAAAAAGAGCGAAAAAAATGAGATTAAAAAACTTATAAAATTATTCTACAAATTATTTTTCTATTTTAAATTAAAAAAATAGAAAATTGAATTATAATGTATTGTAAAAAAATTAGATTATTAAGAATAATTTATTTATATATTTCAGTTTTATCCAATTCTCTTAGATTATAAATTATATCTATAGTTGCTCAGGTATTATTAATCAAAATAGCTTCGCACCAGTTGCGTGTAAACGCTACATTCAGCTGTACTAGTTGTGCATATCATGTACTATGGTATACTATAGTGTACATTATATCATTATTACACTAAAACCCTATTCCCGTTTGACTTCCATTATCAAATTTTAAATGTCACACTAACTCTATACCGTTCCTTTGAGACGGTGTAGTAAAATCCCACTTCGTGCATAAAATTTGCATTACACCGTAGCCATGGAAACACCGAATGTACATCGAATGGGTTCACTTATCACCAGCCATGGAAATACGATATACTGTCTGAATGTTGCACTAGTGCAGTCAAGAGAAAACGTTATCTTCTTAATTAGTAGTAATTTTCATACACGTGTGTGTTTACATACTTATTAATTAGATAAACTGAAGAAAAATATATATGGCCTATCAATGGCCTGCTACTCTTATTTTGTTATTTCGCAAGACACTTTATTAATATGTTCGTCAGAAACTGAACACGTGGAAAATGCAACGTGTAGAATGAATAAAACTGGATTTGACAAATAATTTTTTTTTAAAGAAACTCTTTATATGAGTAATTATATATCTACGATTTAAATATAAGAATTACTGAATTAGATAGAATAGATTTAGAGAATACTTAAATGACATAATAAATTAAATGATAAGAATAAATTTAAAAAAAATGGATTGAGTAGTATACAATACTATTTGTAAATTATGATATTATATACATATGAGAGTAATTATACATATAGAGTAACAAACAATTAAATCTTGTATTCCGTAATGTCTTATTTTATGAATTATTAGAGATAGCAAAAAATTGTAGATATATAATTACTAGTAGATATATAATTAGATAAAAATTTGAGGGAAATAAATTGATGATTTCTTCATAATTATAAACGCATTTTAAAAAACACACAATATTTGAAAAATATCGTTATTTTCTCTTAAATAAAATTACATTTTTTTATGAAAAACAACAAATATGAATTAAGATTTTCTGTAAAACATGAACTAAAAAGATTTCGTTAGTTATAACATAAAAATTTAATTTATGTTATAATCGTTTTAATCCTTTTATCCTGATTTTATTACAGGTAGTGCCAAAAAGGGCAGCTCTATTATTCGATCAATTAATGGTAGCTCTACAGAAGGTTGTTGATAATCAAGGAAAAGGTTCAGTCGGAAGCAAAACTTCAGTTGGAAGTAAAAGTTCAACCAGAAATAAAGTTCCAATTGAAAGTACAGGTATAAGCAAGCCATCAGCACATCAACATTTCCAAACCGTCAACTCGGAAGTCGTCCCTATGATGGATGACCAAACGGTAGTGAATTCGATATTAACTGTTATTCGAAAATCCTAATAGCTTGAACCACATTATACCAGGTGTACAAATATGAAATGACGATTTTTTTCCCCAAAAAAAAACACGTTAAATTCAGAAGAATGAAAAAGAGATTTATTCAAAGTATGCTCCATTGCTAGTTACACATTTTTCCCATCTTTCGGGCAATTTGTGAATACCAAAATAATCCTTCCCCTTTTGCCGCGAACCATTCATCGAGCCATTTTTTCACATCTTCGTACGAACCAAAGCGCTGCTCAGCAAGTGCGTGATCCATCGATGCAAACAAGTGGTAATCGGAAGGAGCCAAGTCTGGTGAGTAAGCCGCATGGGGTAGAACTTCCCAGCTGAGTGGCTTCCGGGAGTGTCCCGAACTAGTTTTGCCATACATGGAGCATTGTCATGGAGAAAAATGACCTTATGTTGCCTCTTTTGATATTCTGGTCGTTTTTTAAGCAGCGAATGGTTCAAATCGATCAATTGTTGTTGATAGCATTTGATTTGATAACCGTTTCGCCAGGCTTCAATAGCTCATAATAGACTACACCCTTCTGGTCCCACAAACACAGAGCATCGTTTTCCTGCCAAATTCAGTCTTGCGGTCGATGTGGATGGTGCGCCTGGGTCTACCCATAATTTTTTGCGCTTGGGATTCTCAAAAAAAATCTACTTTTCATCCCCAGTAACGATACGATGCAAGAATGAACTTTCTTCTGTATCGTTCGAGCAAAATTTCACATGTGTTTTTGCGCCTTTTCATCTGTCTCTCGTTCAATTCATGTGGCATCCATCTGCCGACTTTCTGAATCTTTCCCATCTCTCGTAGGCGATTGGAAACAGCTTGTTGACTAACGCTCAATTGATCTGCGAGTTGTTTTTGTGTTTTTGTGAATCATCTTCATCCAGCAATGCTTGCAATTCCACGTCTTCGTACTTTTTGGGCGGTTTTCCGTGTTCCTTGTCTGCAACATCGAATCTCCAATTTTGAAACGCTGAAACTATCGTTCACACATTTTTTGCGATGAAGCATGTTCACCATAAACTTCTCCAAGTAATCGGTATGATTCCGCAGCAGCATTTTCTTCAAATGAAAACAAAAAATTAATGCTATCCGCGAATGCTCCTTATTTGGTACAAATTTCGTCATATTAAACACAGCAACACAATACTATGCAAACATTTTTCAATCAAATCACTTTGTGCGTTTGACACTTGTTGATGGTACAATAAAATGGCATATAATGTTAAATCTTTGTACTTCACACTGCATTGGTGCGCCATCTGTTTCTCAAATCGTCATTTCATATTTGTACACCTGGTAAGGCAATTATACATTTCTTCACTTTTCATATTTTTGTTATAATTTTACACATTCTTGTAAATAACATTATTTACTGTAATACTTATTTTAGTATTAAAATAAAAATAATTTATCCCTGCAGTATAATATAAACAAAATTCATATATAAAATGCAATGTGATTTGAAAGCTCCGCATAGCACCCTCTGCAAGAAATTAATCATATTAATGGCGCATTCTTTTGTATTTTGGTATTAATTTCTTAATAAAATAGTAATAAAATTAATTAAATATAATAAAATTATTATACTAGGCAAAATGAGTAATAGAAAAAAATAATACGAGATCAAAATAGTATAAACGACGAATCAATAAAAAAGAAATGTTCGTACATTTGTGCGTGTACTGTGTCACTACTAAAATTTAATTATAATACTGTAGCTATAAAATTTAATATGAGTGTATTCACATCCGCATTTTTTCTCGTTTTCAGATGGATCTGCAACGACGCGCACTAGCCCAGAGTGAACTTTTCTGGCGCTGTTACTTCAATGCCCTCGCATGCTTTAAGAAGAAGTGATAATGACCACATCGCTGTCAATTCTCCTCAATCCCCAAAGATCGAAAGAATGCGCGAAATTTCGTATTATTTCCTCGACTTAGCTGCAACAGCACGACGAGTAGCAGTGCTTTCCTGGCTAGAGGATCACGAAAACAAATGAAAAATGTACAGTAGCACAAATTCACATGATTATGGCCGATATTCATAGTCGGATCTTATAGCTAAGTCTTAAGTACAGATTTTAAGATGTCATGAACCAACGTATCAGAGAGTCGCAGTAGCATTTTAAGATATTACTTAAGACGGTCTTAAAATAAGAATGGATTATGAATACCGCCCTATAATCATATTTGGAACGTCGAATTGATTCTCTTTCAACTATTTTATTTTTTTTTCGCGCCAGTAAACATGAACTATAAGTAACGTATCAATGTCATAATTTCACATTCGACAATGTAACTGGTATATAATATACGTATTATATTATATTTATATATCGTAGAGTATGAATTATAACATTGTTATATGTCTGTTAATTAATGTTTACTGGAAAGAATACCTCTGTCCTTCTTTTCATTGACACTGTATCGTTACATATCGTTGCCCCATCTTCTCCATCACGGATCATATGCAACATGTTTAGAAACCTATACTTACTCTTTTTCTCTTGCTTATAAAGTATAAACGATTGAAGATCTATCCATTAAATGACTCTCTTCAAGCATATCAACCAAAATGAAATAATTTGTTATAAACCTAAATTATGTGAGTTTCTTCGATATCTTGCGAGTTATTTCTAGATATAGGTATTCTTATTCTCTATTACATTATTCTTTGTCTTTGATGCTAATCGATGAGCATGTTTGAAAAATACATACAATTTTCATAATATCGTCTTGTTGCTGCTATTTATGTAAACTGTGAAGATTTAAAGTAGAAACTCTGGTATCGTTATTTCTTCTTTTATTTTTATAATCACGTAATACTAATAGAATTAAAAGATATTTAACTTTTATTTGTTTATGCCGAGAACAACATTCTTAATAATATAAACCCCGTAAGAATCAAGAACTGCAAAAATTTAGATGATATGTTATGTATTACTACTTTTTTCTTTTAATTTGGTATGATAAAACTATTAACATCTTGATATATATATATATAGTAAGGATTTGCCAATCATAGTATATTTATATAGCATATTTTCTAAATCATACAAATATAGCTCCTGCAGAAAACCACGCTAATACATATATGTACCTAATATATATACCTTGATCAAAAAGTTCCCGGAATTCATTCAGAAAATTCAAAATACAAGTTTTATTTATCAAAAGTGATATTGTCCTCTTCAAAGTACTCCCCATCGACTGCAACGCACTTATGCCAGCTTGATCCAGCTCTCGAAACATTTCTGGAATTCTATTGTCGGTATAGCTATCAGAACCGTCTTCGATTTTTCCATTACCTCCTTTCGACTGTTAAAACGCGTTCCCCGTAATGGTTGTAAATTTTTTGACTCGATCGAACAGAAAAAAATCGCAGGGAGCCATATCATTATCAGGTGAATTCGATGGTTGTTGGATGGTATTCGTTTCATTCTTGGTCAAAAATTCACGGATAATGATGGCACTGTGCGACGGTGCGTTATCATGGTGCAAAATCCACGAGTTGTTTGCCCACAAATCCAAAATCGAAAATACATGCAGAGGTAGATGTACTCAAGACGGCGTAACTTTTACAAATGTCAAGCTATGGTGATAAAATTTGGTGGAAATGTCAATGATAGATGTGGCAACATCCTAACCAAAAAAAAAACAACTCAAATCAGCTGACTCAGAGCATCCTAGTGCTAATTCCGGGAACTTTTTGA